TCTTTGCCAGGAGAAAGACAAACGGAGCAACGCTACTTTGGACTGTGTGTAACCACTGACAAAGAGCCTTGCGCTAACTATCGCAGAGCTCCTTGTCCGTTATGTTCTTGACGATCCTTGTGTTGGTCTGACCGTTCGGCAGGAGATTAACTCGACGCAACATGGTCAGCAAAAGTTACCCCCTAGTAGGTGCTGGCTTGTCTTTGCTCTTGGTAGGCTCAACCCGCTATGCAGAAATCCGTAGAAAGCATACTAAGTAAGCGAGGGAGTGGCGAATGTTCCTCTTGCAGATCAACGTATGGTACTTACTGCCTTTCTATGTTAGCACATCTCAAGAAAAAAAATTAGAACGAAAGACAGTGAGAACAAGAATAGAAGAAGAAGGAAGAGTTCAAAAACGTATGACTGTGTGTAAGTATTAGAGCTAGACGGAAAAATGTTCTTTCTTCCTTCGACCTCTCCATTTATCGGTCCATCTGCCGTCTTCTCAATTTAAAAGTCGCGTTCCATTCTTCGGTTACTCTTACCGGTTACAACTACTGGTAATACTGTTCACACGCGAGACTTTATTGCTATCCAAACGGTGTGTTGGTTCATTAGAAAGGCGCTGTAGTAAAAGCAACGGCGATAGGAACATGGGAGAGAACGTATTGCGACAAGTGATCAGTAGCCGTCTCGCGAATGGCGCAGGTACTCACCGAGTATCGGGTTCTTCCTTCCTGTCAACAGGAGAGTGAAGAAGTTGGATCGGCGGATAAACGGAAAAGTGCCAGAACGCCGAATGTAGGTGTCGGGGAACATTTTTATGCCTCACCCATTGAAAGGCCTCTGGAACCAGTCAACCTAGAATGAGGCAACACGCGAGTGCCTCTTCAGAACTGGCTAAGCACAGGAGAACTCTGGCATCGCAAGATGCTGCAGGAGAGGTTTGAACATGTTGAAAGCGAGAAAAGAAAGCGGACTTAAGTATGGCTCAGCTGCCACTCCTATCGCCGCTTGCCATGACAGTGCAGCCACAGCAGCAGAAATGAGTCACGATCTTTTCAAATTATTTAGTGAACGTGAATCTTAGAAAAAACCACGAAGCAACGAGCATGGGTAATACGGAAATGACGGTCGAATTTCGAAGCAATATGGACGAGGACGTTCGGCGGACTGATGCTACATATTCAGACAGCAGCCCACGCGCAACCGATAGAAAGGGGAAAAAGCACGGACATGTGTAAGTGCTGCAAACGTTAAGAGACATACTCAACTACTTTAGCGTTTATAGTTCCTAATTTGGCCTCGGCTATGCGCCGAGCACTGGGGAAAGTGAGTCGTCGAATTAGCGCTATGGGAAAGGAACAACAGAAAAAGGCCGGGAGGACGAAACAGCCCTTTAGAAGGGCCACAGAGTATACCTTGGAGCGAGTAACCAAATGGAGACGATAACTTAGATTTACAAAAGTATAGACGTAACGAAGAGATCGAAATTCCATCCAAGCATCGAAGCATCAATTCGTCGTTCCAGCAACAGTTGATGTTAACTTTGTGATCTTGCGGCCTGAATTCGGGTCGACCTAACCATTCTGGTACGCCATACGACCTTATTACATGATTGATGAGTATTTGGGAAACGTCGGAGTGGTGAGACGAGCAGTTGAAGGATCTTCGCACATACGTTTTACATGCGTATGGCTGACGTGCGCATATGCGCCTCTAAATACCAACTTACCCTTTCAAATCATTATAGGACAGAGTATTGTTGAAGGTAAATATATATATCGTACGTGTAAGTATTAGATAAAAGCTTTGGACTGGTGCTTTTTAACTTCAAGCAATATTGGCGGTCAATTTTAAACAAACTTCCTGCTGAATTAGTATGTGTGTTAAGGAATTACATCGATTTTGAATATAATGGTTCATGTACAGTAGCTTAACGTCATATTTGTGTCTCGTGTAAGAAAGCTAAATTAGTTTCCCTTCGATAGGTTGCTGGCCAAAAACCTAAATCACATCTGAGGCCATCCCTAGGTGGCCTGTATGCGCCCACACTACTACCGAATCACTATCGGCCCAGTGTATTTGTAGCAGGCGCCGATCAACGTCACAGTTGACTAATGAGGCTTAACTACCGACTGCCTAAATCGAAACTCCGCTTACGCAACGAAGCTCTCTTACTATCGATAGAAGTGCCACCTAAATACTCGCTTGGCTTAATTTCAACGTTTATGTTATATAAAATTATTATGTTTTTTTTTTTGCGATTTAAGTAATATGACCTTTGTTCTAGTTTCCAGCATCAAATAACTTTGGCCATATTAGCACTCGTCCGGGAAGCTCGATGTCGCAGGACTGTGTCAGCTTCCAATTACGCCAAACTGACTCATGTCAATATATATATATATTCGCTGAAAACGTTACAAGAACTAAATACAATATTCTACGTACGCTAACGACCAAATGAATCGTCAGCATCAAGCATTGCAACAGAGACAACTCGTTCCTGCAAGTAGTAGCTTTTTTTATACGCCATCGAGGATGTTATAGGAATAGTACATGGTTGAATTACACCACTTTCCATTGTCCTGTTGAAATAGTTCAACAACCTGGCCCTTTTATGGCAAACGGCCATTTTCTCACCTAATTATTCAGTCGTCATTCGAGCGAGTTCGGTTCGGTTCGGTGTCAAACTTCATATATTCTGTTACCCGAGAACTTCAATTTTTCCATGCAGTTTATCGATAAGGTTTACCTAAACCAAATCAAATTTGCACCTATTAAGCTGTCACTGTCCTATTATCTTATTGTTTCATTGAATATCCTATGTCCTCTAGCACTTCCGGCTCAAGAGCTCGTCAATCGCAAAAAATGTGACCAACTCACTTGTGCTCGAAACTTTTATAGAGCTTGAAAAACCGATCGGTTTCTCGATACCAACATCTCAGAACTTCTTGACGGGGTCGACTCAGTTGGTTTTACATTATATGGAAATATATATATATATATCTTCTAAGTATAATATATTTAAACAGTCCTCGAAGTTAAAACCACACACTATTCTAAAGTGGGACCGTGACAGCCTATGAAGCCAAACCTAAGCGGGGGTTCCACGTGGGCTGTTTAAGATAAACAAACCAGCACGCAAAGAGGCCCAGAATTTGACTTGTAGGTAGTTAAGTGCCTGTATCAAGTCACCATAACAGGTTTTGAATCACAGTTGTTATATACTGTATCATATATTTCTAGTCGATAGTTACCCATTGTTGTCATACATGCATTTCAGGGGCAGCGTAACTCACTCTATAGGCTATAATCAGCGAATTCGATACGGTCGGTAATTTCCTAAAATGCGAGACACCGGTTCTTGAATGATAAATTTTGTTAGCCTTCTCCTATATTCAAGCGGTTCACCCATGACCTTGGACTAATTATCTTAGTAGCAAAACGATAATGTATATAGTTGGAGTTATACCTCCATAAAATCTCTAGCCGAATCCCTAGCAGCATTGTAGCCACCAAAGTCTTTGGACCTGATTGCACCCATACAGCAGTGAAAGGCCCTGCACACTGTGCTTGTATGCTAGTTTATTCAGTGTTCTAACGTGTAGCTTCTAACTCCCAGTGCATTACGTTGATTTAACTTGCTTTTTCCGTAGATAAACGCAATTGGCCTTCTTTAACATAAGAATTAGCACGGATCTTTAAGCAATGAAGTAAACTTTAAAGCAATCGTATTGTTTAATAAGTTGATCGTACGGCCAGGCGGCATATATGATATTTGATCACACAGCATTTGCCGTCATTTAAACACCACGACTACCATAAGTTCCTCGCATAAATATGACCAGCGCGTCTGTCTTTTGGGAGAAAACGGCACGCTATCGTAGCTTTCATCTGTTAATGGTGTCGCTGCCCACTATTGTGACGCTTTACGCCACTGTGGCGCGACATCTACCTGATCGCGGGACGAATTCTGGGACAATGACGGCACTGCTAGATAGTTTCTTCGCAGTGTCACACGCACATTGATTGTTAGCTGACGCAGTATGCAATGCATAGGCTTATATATATGTAGGTATATACATGCATACATCCGTGTTTTTCTATACATCCGTCCTCCCATCCGCTCAACACTGTCCGATATCGATTTTCGGGTTTTCTGTTTGTACGGTGTTACCTTTCTATTCTGTTTTCTAATCCCTTCGCCTCCCGAATCTCCCTTCTTATGCCCACTTGCCACTACCATGCCCTTCGTGGTTCCTTTGCCTGTTTGTTTCTTGATTGCCATCCCAGCCAATTGCTGTTGCTGACCACTGCACTTCCCACGTATGTACCTGTGGCCTGTAGTACCTGCACAAAAAGAGAATCTTCTAGTGATGTTCTATCTATTGTTCTTCCTTTTTATGGCTGACTGACCTTGCTCTGGAATAAGGAGAAAGGAAGGAAAGGTGTTCCGTTGTGTCAGAGGGAGACAAAATAAGAAAAGCGGGGAAGAAGCAAGAGGTTAAGCGGCCGGCCTGGCTATGACCCTGCGTTTCGTGGATCAGGTCGGCTGCACATAAACCGCAATAGGGCCTGGGGTGTTGTCACATCTCATTTGACTTGTACTGCCCAGGTACTCGCTGTTCTACACCCCATTCTTCTAGAGACCATTCACTTGCCTTTGAGAGCTTCTCCTTTGGCTTACCTTTCGATGTTACCTCTGCAAGGACTTGCTTCGCTTGTGCCGATATGGAGACTACTGAAACGGAACGGGGTTGTTACTGCTGCCCTGCTAATAATGATACTATTACTAGCATATCTCATGTGTGCAACGATTCTTCTCAGAACTTCAATCGCAGTAACATCGACTACCAAAGGATAAACACTGAACGAGCAAACGATTGATTACATAAAGGTAGTCGTTAACAAATTTTAGATTAGGTCCCATTTTTAGAATCGTTCGTTTTCTCATTTGAAACTGTTTCAGTAACTAACAATTCAGTATCTGTTTTCTTGATATGTTATTGCTACAGCGCTGATCAACCTTCAGGAGCTCGTGCGGCCGTTCCCGCCGAAAAACGTAGAGTACCAGTTTCGGCGAGCGGATAACTTCACTGCTACCTTGCTAGATATCCGCAGCAGAGGAATTTACTCGATGATCGTTGACGTCCGACCTGAGAACCTCACTGCCTTTCTTAGAGCTGTAAGTAGCCTTGCTCAATGGACGTATATTAGCATTCACACGGTATGGGGTCGTTGATCCATGGCCCGTTCATGAAATAACTTCTCAAATTTGAACAATGCGTCTAATTAGATTACACTAAGCGAATCATACTAGGCATTTTGTACACAAGGCTTGCAACACTTCCTGATCGGAAAGCCGTCACACAGTTAAGTAAGAACTTTGTCTAGGATTTTCTTTGCGACTGAGTTCATGGTTTGTGAAGTTGAGTAAAATATGTGTACTACATTTGGATTCTCGTCTTGTCGCTTCTATGTCTCGAATCAGCTACGTCTCGATTCACTGTCGTCTTTCAATGGCTGACTTACAAGCTGCTATTAGTCCTGAAGAAGGTCTTTGAAGCTTCTGCCGAAGCTATTTTCAAAGCCAAATGTGATTGGCAGTACATTTTGCTCGGGCAATAAGCCGCGCCGAGGGTCCAGGTCTGGTTTTGCGCCGAAACGATTCGGACGCCGGAAGAGAAATTTTTGTGGAAAAGAGATAACCGCCTTAGCATTTGTGCGTGCATATCAAACCTACCACGTCCTATTACCTTGATATACGAGCAAAAAAGCCTGAAGCGTGAAGGCACATCACATTTAGCAAATCTAAGGGACAAACGCTGCTGTTCCCTTTTTTGATGTACTTCAAGACGTGAGCGGATAGGCAAGCGATTATTTTGCCCGGGCAAGTTGCGCTGTCGTTACGTTGCTACTGGCCGGTCAGGATTTATCGACCTATCTATAAGTAAAATCTGATGTTTGTATTTTATTAACGTCACTCGCGCCGGAGTTACTCGTACAAACCAAAGACCTGGCAAAAGGAAGCTTAGATCTAGTGATCACTGAGCACCAGGCGATGTAAAAAATATTCAACATTACGCGCCACCCCTTTGGATTAAGGAAAAGGATCAAGTGGACGCTGAGAGCAAGAATGAGCGAGATGGGTATAGGCGAAGCCTGTGGGTAAATGTAAAAAGATCTAGAATATTCCCATAAAAATAAAACCCAATTCCGATGGACGACGCCATTTACAGTGCCACTAAGTGCTCTACTTTGCGGCGCCTTTTATTGTCAAAGTTGCTTGCTTTTCATATGTGGTTTTGTAATAGCGTGACGGAGCTGCAACATTTTCCTCTGTTTTATACGACTCCTATGACTTTATTTTGATAAAATTTATTTAGTGGTTTTGTGAAAGAAGCGTATTCGGTATCGCTTATCCGGTATTGACTTTTGAGCTATTGTAGCCCTCGAGGCTGCCTACAGACGACGTTGAAAAGATTCACAGATTGAAGGTTGACAAATTGGTTTTCCCGCCCAGAACCTGTCGAATCGTTTGGCTTGCTAAGACAGACGTCCTGCGGCATTGTTGGCAGTTGCACCATGATAGTCAAGTGCTTCCGAGGGGGGGTCAGCAGCGTATAAATAGAGGTAACCGTGCTTAAAGCTACTTCTCTGTGGGAAGCCAAATCGAGAGCTACATATTTCAACTGAAATTAAGTTCATGAAAACATTGTTTACGTGTACCTATTCAGTGTAACTCATTGGACATTAGCCACGCCCCAGACAGGTTCTAACGGGAAACACGTAAACGCGGGAGCAATGAAGAAAGAATTCTTCAATTATGTGCGGGTATATCTCGCTTAGGTTTTTAGAGGGCTTTCGAAGTTATGTCATATAATAGGCAAACGTTCATTTTTGTTTTTCTGGCATAGACTTTTGTCGCGCCTATCTTGAAGTTACGGCTAAGTTTCTTTATAGATACGCATATGCTAACGGTGTTTTACCTTTGTATCACTGTTTCCATTTCAGATTCTTCAAATTCAAATGAATGATTATAAATATCATTATCATTTTGCTACTTACGTAAGTATTATTTTCTCGTTTATTAATAGCGTTATAATATCTTATAGAAACACATTCAGGGTTATCTTTGTGGAGAAAATTGGCATAAGAGTATTGCGCGTGATCACGGCCTCACTTATTTGGTTGAACATAACCGTTGAGCTTGAAACTAAGTTAAAATACTTTTTCTACTTCTTTTTTAAAAAAGAACGAAGTAACAGATTTTCTTTTCTTAATTTTACTTTATCTTTGTGTGCAATATAAAAGTACATTTGTAACTATCTTCTTTGCTGTCAGAAGGTGCTTTTTGTGTAAGTGTGCCATAGCGACTGAACACGGTACAATGTAATCAAAATTTTTTGCGTGTGGCTAATGCGTACGGTCGCAAAGTAGATCCAGAGTAGTAAGTAGAGATATATAGATTTTGATGTTTGCGTGGGTGATCATCTACCTCTAACTATTTTTGTGCCTTATTAGCTCGACGCCTGAATTGATGTAGAACATTTGCCTATTTTCCTGTCTACCTGTTCGCCGTCGCGGAAGGTCCGAGTGTACACTAAAGCGTCTCGCTTGTTGTGTCTGTCACTGCTGCTGTGCCAATAGAGGCGGCATGAAGTTCTTTTCTGCCTGTATTGACGTCCCTGTACGTTCAAATCATCGCCGCCCCTATCATCCTTACGTGGTGCGACTGGCAACAAAAGCGAGAACAAGATGGTTAGGTATCGGCGTCTTTTATATTAAAACACTTACTATTCAATATTCTCTTCCGGTGGCTAGTGCAGCAGCGACCGTTACACCAGCGAAGTAGCAGACGGCGGCTGCAATTATGATGCAGTCCACACTGGTCATGACCAGGAAAGCGTGAGTTGACTGGTCTGGCTGACAGCGGCAAATGCTTAGTGATTATTGCTGAACTACTCAGCAGGCTAACGCCTCGTGGTGGGAGGACGCTGCCATGGCGAAACCGCTGTCCGTACGGCTCACCATACGCTATAAAAGCACGAGCATGCGGTCTGCACGGACGACTATGATGAAAGCAGGACTTGACAAGATCTTGTAGCCCATGCTGGCTAAGAAGGTTCCTGGTGTCGCCATCGGTGAGGCCCAGGCTAGGTATGGAACAGAAGAAAAGCTGCTAAACGAAGAAATGCATCAAACAAGTGATACGTCATCATCATGGGACCGATGAGCGATAATGGCCGTGCTGTTGCTACTATCGTTGTGGCAACTATAGCTGCTAACGATACTGCAGCTTTTGGGTACGGTTAGCGATCGCCGAAGGCAAGGTCAGTTTTTTTCCTCCGGAAAGAATGGGTCGACAGAGAGTTGTGAACGCCAGCAATAGCTGCACTTCAGCAAGGGAAAGCAAATATCAAGACTCACTCCTAACTACAAAACTGAGGTCTGTAAGCACGCCGACGACGATAGCGGCGACGAAAGCGGCATCTAGATCTCCTACCCTTGTTCTAAGTAGTATTGCTGCTACTGTTTGTTGGTTACTGACTGACTCCGTACGACTGTATGGACCGGTCCGTCATCGCCCTACGTAAATGTTAACGCAAACGTTCTCCACCAACGAAAATTACGAAGTGACCACGTATCGGCAACCGACGCATTTCTGGCTACCTTACCTATGTGTAGGGAGTCTATGAAAGGCTGACGACGGCGAAGAAATGTGATCATGGCCGCTTTTCTTTACTTGTGAAATGATGTGAGCGTTGTCGTCCTCACTGTCACTGGTAACGTCCCGCCAAGGGACATTTCACAGTTTCCGCGCCGTATCTTGTCTGCTGCTGCTGCTAGATACGACGAGTTCGGTGGCATTCGATGGATGGGCATCAGCGTTACTGCTGCTCCTGGAATGGTAGCAACAGCAGTAACGAAAAGCAGAAGAAGAAAAATTACGGTCACTCAAGCAGCAACGAGCGCATCGCGTTTCCAGAGGTGGCCGGAAGCTGCAATTTGACTTCCGGAAAATTAATCAGGAGCACATTCACCACCGTGTGAACGATGTTAGGGGGTGATGCCGAAATTTTGAACGCGGAAGGATCGGAAATAAAAAAGGAAGAATGGTTAGGTGACACGTAAGTGGATATAGTCTTCATTTTCTATCGAATACTGTGACTGTTTCGCTTCAAAAACAGAAACGATAAATTGAGCTGGTTCTTTAGAAGATTATACTTGACACCACTACCTGAACTGTTGGCATAAAATAATTGTGACAACAAAAAACAGATTCTTCTGAATAATGTTAATGACCGTGCAACTGCCTAAAGAGAAAAGTGGCTGTTTGGACTTGCTATATTTTGTATATGCGGCGGTAATGGGCTCTAACCTTAAATATAATCCTTCGGGTACTCATGATTTATATATCAGGAGCATAGACCACCAGAAGCCACCGTATATATATAATACCATAATAGCTTTGTATACTGATGCACTAGTTATTATAACATACTGTCAATAATATGAACTAGATAAAATTGAGAATATAGGACCTTAAAGTCTACTTATGTCTAATATCCCCTACTCAGGCCTTGTATTCGCCTTATAATTCGTTAACTGCTATTTTGTATGATTCTAAAATTAAAATTAACTTTTTTCGGGCTTTCGAAATAAATCATCAACATAGCATTAACGGGGCTGATTTTTTCACATGACTTTGAATTAAAATTTTTTTTCTTGGTAATTTTTTCCCATTAAATCACTTGATATCTCGTAGTAGACCGTTCATTGACTTGCGTAAATGTCCTCTTTGGTGCCACTAGGAAAAAGAACAAACACTAGCGCGCGTCGTTCCCCTCTGGACGCTTCAAACTCTCGCTAAAATAACATGTTCCAAAGACACTTTTGAGAGGTCATTTCGCCACGAACAGGTCTTTGTTAAACCTGACCGTTACTCTGTTTCTGGAGCCATTTGCTTCGACGTCTACCATTGAAGAAAAATGTATCATACTTTTTTTTATACAGGCGTTCGGCAGAGTATACTCAAGGCCTATTCGCTTAAAAAAAATATCTTCTAAAGCTTCTTCTATATCTTGTGACGCATAGAAAAAAATTTACGAATGAGATTATACAATTTTTCAACTTTGTATTTATGTCAATGCCATGCTGATTCCAATTGTCACTGTGATCAATCTATTCAGGCCAATAACACTAAGTCAATCAAAATTTTTACTAGGCACCAAATTTGGTAAGGTCATATTATATAAAGTTTCAGTTATCCATGCCAGTGATATTATAACGATAATTAGAGATACTGACAAAATATCATTAAGCTCTTTTGAAGATTTGCGAAAGTAGCCTGAATACGCTTCTTGAGAAGACTTTAAATGAAACTACTAAATTGCAAGCGTAAATGAGTTAATTTAACCCTAAATACGCACGCAAATACTAATTTAAAATTAAGACACTTCAGACATTATGCCATTGAATTTATTTACTTTCCTATATCCTGCTCGTTTATAGACGTTGAAAGGGTTTATTAAGAAACAAATGGTTGTTTTTGTTCACTATTTCTCCCTGCTTCTAACTTTCCATGTGCTGACGATCGAGTGTTATATAGTCTTAGAAAGTTCTCCTTTGATCCAAAGATGTTGCTTTATTCAGATTAATAAATACCGTCTTACGTTTGGATTCCAACGATGGGTAGGGGAGGAAGTGAATATGTGACATCGAGTTCTTGCCAGGGGCACAAAGATGAGACAGCAACCCCCAGAAATACGTCCTACGTACGGTCAAGGCTCTACAGCTGAAAGATATGTTTCCATGAACAACTGCCTTGTTCCAAAAATAAGCTTCATTAAACTCGAAAATAATCCTAAAATTGAAAAGTCCATTTTACGTTAGCAAAGTACCTTCACGACTCCTAGCTATAGAGCTCGTGTCACGTCGCATACGTTATAGGTATTCTCGACTAACAGTTCGTTTGAGCATGACAACGTCTTGTAGGGCAAAGAAAGAAAGTTGTCAGTAGGTAATATCGTAGCCACTTCCAAAACTTTCAAACAATAAAAAATAAAATTGCTCAGTATATACCACCTAATGTAAGCTTCAACAGCAAACGTCCAACTAGAAGTACTTGGCCCTATATGCATTTCCGTTACTCGCCATTAGGACCCAAGAGAAACTGCAGCTGTCACTGTCTCATGTCATGAAACCACCTAAAGCTGTATTAGATGTAAAGAATAGAATGTGCTCTTTTACACAACTTTTATTCAAGTCGAACTCTTCGTTCATTACCAGGCTGTATAGTTGCCCTTAAATCTTGCCTAGGGTTCCCTGCAAGCAAGTTCCGCTGCAGCGAGCTATCTACGGAGGCGACTGCCTGTAACTTTTAAATATGCTAGTTCGTTTAATGAATCTTTCTTGCCGCTCTCCATCTTCCTGCCTAGCTGGGTGCTTTAGGACAAACCGGCCATAGAACCTCGGCGCCAAACCTTCTCCAATGATTTAAGGTTAGAAGCATAATTTGCATCAGGTGAACGGGTCATAGAAATCTATGATTTTTACCGGTCTGATTACGACCTGCTCTTGACATTTCTTTGCTCTGTTTTTATTATTTGCTGTTTCTATTGCAGGACATCGAAGCGTTCAACCTAGAAGACTTTCAATACAACTTTGTAAATATTACCGCGTTTCGTATGGTAGACTCCGAGAACGAGACGGTACGAGCTATCCTAAACGACATGGAAAAGTTCACTCCGTACGGTCAAAATATTCTTAATAAGACTAACGTCATAACTGTAAGTAATACTATATGTGCATTACATGTCTTATTTGCTTCAACATATAGTGAATCCTAAGGTATTTTTATTAGACCTGCTAAGATTGTAATGCCAGCCGAAAAATATCTTTAACCTATACTTTTCAGGACCTTCTGAAGTAGCGCAGTACGTCACATGTTTTGCCATAGATGCTGAACGATTATTGCTATTTAGCTTAAATTACAATATATATTCAATTCAGCAAGTAATTTTAAACAAAGACATTGTCTACATAATTCAAAGATTTTTTTCAACTTGACCTAAACAAGTATTAACACTAAACAATGGAAGACGATGGCGGTCTTCTTTATAAAAACAAAGTCATTTGTTTGTACTACCCCAATTTGTCGTCCCGTTGTCTGTAATTACAGTCTCATTGTTTCGACCACTCGGGTTCATGCTGGCTGATTGAAGGTACGATTCGAATAGAAGAGGCTGGCGTGGGAGACGCAGCCAAGGTTCGATGGAAACGAAAGCTTTTTGACAACTCAAAACGCGGAAAACTAATCCTTCTTTTCCATTCGGACCAAAGTGGGATAAATACAGAAATTCAAGTGAATTTAAGCTACATATCCTTCTAGAATTGGCTAAGGCGCGTCTGGGTTTTGTGGTTGGGAAATAGTACCGCGCTATAAACGTTGCCTTTTCTTTGAAGAAAGTAAACTACGCGAAGGACCTCCACGATTAGATTTTGTGACGGTCTTTAAAGGTCCTAAGAACCGGATTGCTGCCCGTGTATTCCTTCATGATTGAAGAGAGCTATTCAATGAAAAAGAATATGGGGTCTAACATATAGACAATCCCAACTTTACTTGTGTACGAAATACAGGTAACGTCGGTGAAAGGAGGCCGTCTGAGTTCACTCCTTTACTGTGAGAATGGCCCAATGCAATTAGAAAAGGGAAATTTTCAGAGAATTTAATTAGAACTTGAGATGATTCACTACCTAGCTTTAAAAATATTAAGTAGAATAGAGAATCCTATGCTCAAACTGTATTTACTGTTCACGTCTCTAGCTAAATGTTCGTTCCCAAGCAGTTGTTCTCTGCTGTTTAATGTGTCGCTAAAGAGAGCGTTGGATCATTCAGAAGGCTTGAAGCGGACACTTTGATTGGCTATTTATTCTAGTGTCTAGGTAATTAATGTCAAAACTAAACTTTTCTGTCAATCTTCGGTAACCATCAGGCTAGGTTCTCTTCCTAAATAAAAATTTCAGATATTAACTCACCAACAGTGCATATATATATATGTGCAGATATATGTATCCTTATATATATATAAGGAACGACCTAGTTCAAAACCTAGCTGGAAAATTGGTGGTGCTCTTCTTTTATAAACACATCAAACTTCCTGCCAATAGCTACCGCCGCTTCTGTCCTTTCCTTCAATCGATTTGTTCATTCAACATGTACGAAATTAGGCTAAAAATAATTAAGTCATGCATTTCGAGTGTTGTATTTCCCGTGGTTTTTCAGTTTAGTCGAAAACTTTTTATCTATATATACATAATGGATACAATTGAATTGGGTAGCATATGATTAGATCGGTGTTTGGCGGATCGCAACCCGCTGAAAGCTTTTAGAACGACTGGTCTATTTAGACTGGTCTTCGTGAAGACTCTCTGGTTCGTGACAAATGGCGACCACTTGCCTCGTTTTGAATGAGGACTCTGATTACCAAGACGGGTCGTAGTCAGCATTAACCAATAACTGTTATTGCTCTTATCAGTATCTTTCTGAGTCAACTCAGTAGATACGGGAGCACACGAACGGGCGAAACCAGGGAAAAGAAGAATAAAGATAATTACGAGTCGGCTGACATGCGCACGCCAAGTCTCCACAAACGCCGAGGCAAAAAACGATGTAAAGATAGCTCTGAAACAAAAAGCTACAATGGAACATATCGTTGATGTTTATGGTGGTAATCTGCACTTAATTAAAAAAGCTCGCAAGCTTGAGCAGATTAAAAATATTGGATAAGTCAAGTTCCTTCAGCTGTATTCATTATCGGGCGCCTATAGCGTCAAGGCGTCACTATCTGTGTTTAAATTAAATTTCGTTCATTAATTAAATTAAATTAGTTTTATTTTCATGTGAAAAAGAATCTAAAAAAACAGCCGACATGAACGTACAGGTCATAGGGTTCCATTGGTATGGCTATTCAAAAAAAAGCACTTTGGCTAATAACCACTATGGACAGACTGGCAATATTTCGTAATCAAAACCTTTGACCATACGAAGTAGGAAGAGCCGCTATGTTGGACTCTTTAGATATGTCTCGAAATCCAATAGGATTTTCTACTGGAGATAGCTTTGTGACTCATTTTCTGACCACTTTCGACCTTGCTATTGACTTCGCCTGTATTTTAGCGTTTAACTGGCTGACCTTTGCTTTGGCTTGGAATGACAGTCGTTTAACTACAGAAGAGGAGAAAGGAAACTAAGTACCTACCAAATATGCAGCAATGGAAACACTCTATGGCCGTAGTTGTAGAAGCCGTGGCTACGTAGGCGTCCTTGTCAGCAAGCTAATTATTAGTGCTGTTTTGCACAGTCAATTTCGACAGAGGAAGGTCCTTGAGCTTGTGGCAACTGTGGGCCACGCTTGCGCTCAATAGCGGCAAGCGTGGCCCACAATTGGCTATTCTGCTGCACATGCAAACAAACCGGCGAAGATCCTACTCCAGCCATCGGCAGACTTTTTCTTTGATATATGACAGTGGAGGAGCCAGCTGGCTCAAGGCTAGAAACGCTGAACGCCGTCCGTGCAATAGCAATGATCGGGATGTAGAGGCGGAGACGAAGCTGCTACCAGCCTTTTGCCCCTCAGTGTCCTTTTTCCTGGTTGGTAAATGTTCCCGACGTGATTTTGTCTCTTAAAAACATTTAAGCTCAATGCAGAGGTCGCAAACAGTGTAGAACTACAGCAGACAGGGAAGAAGGATACGTTCTAAAGTAATCACCGTAGGACAACAACGTCCGCGGCAATGTACTCTGTTTATGTGGAGAAGCGGCTGGGATTTATCCTATATGTTGAGTTAGCAATTGTTACTGTCGTTTGCCTCTTGATACTTAGGCATGCCCTGGTATTCTGCTCTTGAAAGCAGAAATGTTAACGATAAGGACCCATTATACCAGTCGTATGGATGTTCGATACTATATTTGCCGCAATTGCTTTCTGCCGCTATTATTACCTAACTATGTCGGAAATAGGTCTGATGGTTTTTGAAACATTATGTTCACTGACCAATTTTTGTGTCTCGAGTCAAAGTTTGCTGTGGAAAACTCTTGCGGAAAAATGTTCCCCATCTCACTTTGTAGTTTCGCCAGCTATTAATGGTAAATCATCATTTATTTCAAGACTAGACTAACAGACGCTCGTATCCAAGGCTTTCTCTGGACGTAACGTTCTCAACTTTCGGACTTAATACTTGCGATGCGTTCAGCCCTAGGGTACAATAGTTAGCGTTGATATTGTTTGAAGGAGCTTTTCTCACATTGAGGATATCCTCCGAGACGATTTCTTGAAAAATACCACTGAGGAGTGGCTCTCTAGAGAGCCAGCCACAATCGGCTCAACATTTCCTCTGCTTCTGTCAATCTTGAGTGATCCTTTTCTCTTTAAGCAAAGCTAACTGCATAGTAAAGCCTGCACTGAGGTACTACGAATTGCGCTTGCCATTGTATACTACCACCCAACAGCAGGATAACTTAGAAGAACTTAGAAGAAGTAATATTAAGGATTGGAAACTGTGGGCTCTTGGTCAAAATTCCACAAGGCATTTACTTGCAGAGACTATCCCGCGCTTGAACTTAGACTATAAAAACAATAATAATAATAAAGACAATAGTTAAGGAAGATTCCTTAACTATTGTCTTTGTTTATGTTCTCTCTCTCTATGTTCTCCACTGTTACTCCAGTGCAGTCCTTCAGTTCCTATTTTTATCGTTAAAAGTAACGAAAGATCAAAGATCACATAGGTTAACTGCTGCAAACTTATCAGCACAGAAGCACATACAACGAGACATATCTGGTTAGCCGTATAACCTTGCTAATGTTCAGCATAGACCAAGTGAACGTCGATGCCGATGACTGTTAACGGTTCCTGCCAAACTTCTGGCTGTATTAATCCACGAGTTACCACATCAGACTTGTTCCAGATTCGATCTGTAGAAGCAGCTCTTCCTTTATCCGTTTAGGTAGATCATTTTTCTATTTCAGTTGATTGTTCAACTCCTCCTTAACAGTATGGTTAATAGTGCGTATTATTATACCATACCGTTGTTACTTCATTACCATTCTTACCGTGTGTTATAGTGCGAATAGTGTACTTACTACATGTAAACATGAAAAGCAAAGCTCTAACGAGGTGCGTAAACTTATTCAGACATAATGTTCCTATTAAATCTTCTTATCTCTTATTTATTGTTGTCGGATCAATTCGTTCTGGCCGCAGACGGAGGCGGCATTGACTTATGACGCGGTCTATGCGTTCGCACATGGTATGAACGATTTGAGCCGCGCCACAGCAGCACAGCTTCGACCCAGCAACGTCTCCTGTGGCGATGGACTTTCGTGGGCCGAAGGAACCTCGCTCTTCAACCTCATCTCCATGGTCGACTACTATGGACTCACAGGTAGAGCGCCTTTCTAGTGTTCACCGGCGAGCCCCATTTTGAATAGAATAAAAAAAACATACCAAGATACAGGGCAGGATGCTTTTCGATGACCGGCTGTACGGCAGAATAAAAATAACTCCTTTTTCTTTTGCCAAAGCTGATACATAGCAAACAAACACACAGTAATAGAAACGTATGTTTTCAATTAGACGGGCAGCTTTGGTTTACTTTATCGTGTGCGTTTACAATTATATCAAATAAGATGGATTTGGATCTTAAAAAATTTATTTTAAAAATATATGACAACGCTATCACCAAAAGTACGCCGGAAACATGTCAAGTGATAATGAAGGTACTTTTTGTCAACGTTATTGCTATCATTAATGCGGCTTCTGCAGAATCCGAGGAACAATGTGGCAGATAGGTAAATTCTTCTCTAGATTTAAAGGGCTCAAAATTACATTAAAATAGCTAAAAAAAACCTATTTCTTATTTGCCCCGATTTTTGATGAGGAAAGTATCAATGGTTAGTTGGCTCGTCTAAATAAACTTTCACGACTAGTTTTGTTGCATTTTAGTTCTTGCATTTTTGGGACTCTTAGCCTGCCATCGGCTCAAAATTTGACTTCGCTAGAATTTTCCATATGTAGCATATTTGAGTGAAATTTTAACAAGTTTTTACCTATTGATCTAACTTGATACACGGTTATTATTGAAAAGTTATTTACTAATTAACAAAAAATTCTTTTGAAATATGACTAGTGAATTGTTTACGGTCCGAATCTCGTTGAATGGTGGCTATATTAAATGAGCATGATTGTCAAAAATTACACTTCAAGCACATGACGAAACTATCTGCTTTTATTTAGTTTTCACCACAGAAAGTCTCAAGTAAAGTGCAGTAGGCTATAGATATATTCCCGGCAGGCTCTCTCACAGTAACCTGTTTTGTCCACTAAGGTTTTCTGCGATTGCTCTTCAACCGTTATTGAGGCTCTGCCGGCTTATTACAAAGAGTCTGGAACTGCATTTTTGCGACCCAGGAGAGTTGCCAGAGCAAACAGGATCCCGCAAGCCAGAACCCTGATTGTTCTGACGACGGCCAAAAAATTGAAAAGTCCCCGGCTTTCGCCTTCTGTTACCGGTTTTTTATGGCATATTTTTAATTAGGAGTTCGCTTTATGCCTTAGTCAACGCGAAGAACATAACCTAGGCCTCCAATGATGAGTAAGTCTACCGATTGTTGATGCCTAAGGTAACGGAGGACCCTGCACTGCGCCATTTCCGGCAAGACCTTGAAACGAGGACCATTAAAATTGCAATAGGAGTGGCACCGGTTCAGATCAAAGAAAGGTACGAGTCAAACAAGGTGTGGGAGCTCAGAGGAAAACCCTCGACTAGGCACGATCAGCTTGAGATTAAGAGAGTAAGCCTGTACCGTAGTGCGCTTACTCAAGAATGGCCTGGTGTTTAGGGTTTGAGGACAATAAGCGCTGTTCTACATTACGTCTCCTCAAACAGAAGAAGCCATCATTTTGTGTCATTCGAAAGGGCTGGCAAGAGACGCCGGAATCCAGAAGACGTTGCAACATATATGGAGGTGGTGGAACCGACATCTGATGAAGCTCGATACGCTTCATTCAGTATTCGCGCCATAAGGTCTGTTTGTGAAAGAACTTCATGGCCCTCTTGGACAGTGAAATTTTCTATGATTTGGTGATAGACGATTATTACCCTAGTTTCGTTAAGCTCGTGCTGGTTTATAAAGCGATGCCTGGTGTGGTGGGGGCCATTTAGGGGCTTCGGCGCGATTATGATGGAGAACGCAACCTTTCCTACATCACTAGGGGAGATGGATTTCCTTGGGCGAGACTACATTGGACACGTATGAGCAGGTACCAGACGTCTATGATGCAGTGGTCTGGTTAAGCGCATGGACCGGACAGTCGCGATAGGCTAGGTCCCGGAATAGCCGAGTGCCGCAATTCGCTCAATGATCTGCTGCTTTCAGTGGCGTTTTCGTTCAAGACTTTTCCAAGGGAAAGGTTGGATGTTCTTTGAGCTTCTTTTTGGCTACGGAGCCGTATTAGCTGGAAAGCCTATTATGCATTGACCATATGTACTGCGGAAGTGCACTGTCGACTTCGCGATCGGTAATAGAAGATGAAAGTACACTGTAAGCGCAGGCGCTCAGGCCTGTAAAAGTTGCGCGACGACTCAAAGCAATTAGTAAGAATAAAACGGTTGAAGCCGGGGTTGATTGAAAAGGCAAAACATTTTCATCATAGGCCGTTGAATCCAAACTAGTCTTACATGGACGTAAGGTTGCGACGTCTCGAGCGCGTCAACGGACCACGAATTCCACGCTTATCTGGCCATACGTTGAAAAGCATATTCTAGTAGGAAAAGTAAAAGTACGCAGCAACTATCAATCATTCCCAGTTAAAGGTAGACCAGATCTATATACGGTACCATAATACAAGCAAATATACTATAATTGATTACGAGAAAATATATTGAGTAAAAACCATTTAAAAGTAATGGATTGTTTAACTTGTCCCACGTAGAACTATAGAAATTGCAATGGGGTTAAGGCAGGGCCATTAAAGGCGCTATCCACCACAGGCTACTCTGTGTGTTTATTTTATTGGCGTACACAGTTGTATTGATATCTATTTGTGCTTCGCATTTGAATGCTCCTCTACGTCACTTCCCTCACTTTTATACCTAAATTCTGTGAATGGTCAGGAGTTTGTGCACACTGGACTTTTGTCAACCTCAAAACTGCCGACTTGCCTGCTTACGCATCTCAGGGTACTTCCGCTTCTGCTCGCATAGGCATCAATTCAGTGTAATTAGCCTTGCTTTTCCTCGTCGGGGCGCAAAATGTCGCGGCTCCTCGTCATCACTGCATTCGGTGTAACGTACTGCGGTTTGCGCCTGCCACGATGGTCCTTCAAGTGACGCGTTAAAGGAACTTCTAGAAGAAACTCCGTCGACTAAAGGCAAAAGTAACTCAATGGATCGATTATCCTGTGTTGCTTTTTTAACGCCGCTCACCCCCTCTTTACAAAAGTACCCTTCCTGAAGAGTCGGGCGCCAAGCCGTCTTACATTTTTGCCCCCATCTCTCTACCTAGCTCATTTTCATGCCTCAAAAGTCCCACGTCACCTCCGGGCTTCTCCCTCCGTTGGTTCCGCTTTATCTTGCTTGTTTATTCGCTGCCTGGCCCACCTGGTAGCGTTGTCACCATCAGAGTACCTTTCCATATTAATGGTCGCTGCTGTGGGTTGCCATTGGTTGTCGTATGTGCCTGCAAGGTCCACCCTTTCTGCTGTTTCCATTGGCAAAAATGAGAAGGCTCAAATAAACAATAGCGAGGGCAGCTAGGCACGCACAAATGGAAAAGGAAAGCGTTTCGACGACAAAGACGAAGTGGGGGAAGATTTCTGAAAAAAAGTGATGGCATAGGCAACGACCATACCTGTGCATGCTACACTAAGCGGGTCCAATAACGGATAGTGCAACAGCACGCGTGCTTTGTTACATACTTTGTACTATGAAGAAAATCAAACGATGTCGTAAATGGAAGCATATCACTGTGACCCTTTGATTGCAGTCGAGGGGGTACTAGCGTACATCTTCAATAGCATGCGAGGAGATAATTACAAAAATCGTAAAAGAATTGTTCAAGCGTTTGCCTATTGGCGTGCATTATTTCGTTGGATATCACAATGCAACATTCAAAAATTGTGCGTTACGATTTTTCAAAAAAAACGCTTTTTTTGCAGGAAATATAAGATTCAACGAAGGCAATAGAACAAGCTTAAAGCTCGATCTACTCAAGCTTCGCCAAGACCGTCTGGTCAAGGTTGGAGAGTGGACGTCTCAGCGTAGACTGAATATTGTCAACCACGGAGCCTTCCACGACTTCGGAAGCACGAATATCACACTACGAGTTACCACTATCGAGGTGCGCCAATCGTGATCTTTGCTACTTACCATAATAGTTTTATATCTTTTAACCTGATCCATGCCTTTCGAATAGTTTTCCTCTTAGGCATCGTTATTGTTGAGATGTAAGTTTGACAATCACGCATACCTGGCTACATGTAAGACTCGATATGTGGCCTCCAATGACAATTTCTTGTAGCTTTCTATTATTCAGTCTGACGCTACGTTTTTCCTCGAAGAAACGTTGGAACTTTTCGTCAGAACACCGACACAAAAGACTTCTAGGAAACAAAAGTTTAAGAACTATTTCACCATAGTAGTCCAGTTTACTATATAAGGTTCGATCTTTGTTCTTTTTTGCTTTGTTGTCGCTGGCAGCCTTCGTGTTGTTGATTGTTATGGTGATGATGACGTTGATGATGATTATTATTTTCATAAGCACTGACCATTTGCTGACAGCACAAACATATAAGGCCGTTCATGTACAAGTTGCGGATGTTCGCGGTCCATTCAAAGGCCTATGGCCTTTTGGCTTTACGTTCCGCCTTCACTTTTGGGGTGTTTCCTGGGCGGATAAAAGACGAAAAGGGTACTATTGTTGCAGGACGAAGCGTAACTCAGGCCATTTTGTGCTTTAGCATACAGCGGTACCTAGCGCTTGTTGTTGTGTTGATAATGGCGGTGGAGGCGGAAACAGCAGCGCCAGCGTCGTCTTAGCAGTTACGGCAATCCCTGTTACTGGTCTGGCTGAAAGTGTCCTGTTGTGCTTATTTAGCTCTGCGGGAGGCAAAATCCATAGAATGAAGCAGGAACGGGTGGCGGTGATAGCAGGATGGGCAGGTGTAGTACAGGACTCCTACCACTACCGGAGAGTCGGAAGAGTTTGGCTAGCATTAGCTGACTGTGTGTGTGTATTCTGCGCAGACTTAATACTGCTAGACGCGGTGATTGCGAGGAGGTGTTGCTGTGGTCGAGTTGTCTGTTGTGCAGGACATAAGCGGAGAAGAAAAAGACGGAACGATGTCATGGCGGCTGAGCACGTTCCCGCTGACCAAACGGCCAAACAGCCAACTGCCGGAAGGCAGAAGGTCTATACCCCTCCTCGGCTTAGATTCGATTCGTTCACTTCTAGTTCTTTTCAAAGCGATAGGAAACACTAGAGAGTGGGGCGAGTTGTAGCCCACTTTGGTCGTGTTACGTTGAATGTTGTGCTGCTAGCATTCCGTTACTTCCGCCGTTGCTATTTACGGTTAGTATGCATAGACCATACTGCGCAGTATCTATCTTCTGCAATCCAGAACAGCTGTACAATCAGTTTGGTGAACCACTATACCTATATAGTGTACATACTAACTACAATTTGTGAGAGCCACTGTAATGCTTATTAGTGCTTGCTAGGGTTGGTTGTGAAAATTTGATTTTTGCAATGCCAAATAACAATTAAAGTTATAATTATAAGTATTTGGTTATAGTGTCTTCGTTGGGGCGTTCATCTACATCAAAAACATCAATTCAACTATATAGCAAGGTTTCCCGAAGATTCCCAAGTGCGTATTTCCAAATGAATTGACAAGATCTAATTAATTAATTAATTGTGTGTGCCCATTCGAGAACCGCTTAAAAGGTATAGTTAGGTTTAGATTGAAGCATTTATTGCAGTATCTACCCTTTGTAAATAGAGATCGTTAAAACTCAATGGAAATATGTGTACAATATCGCTAAAAATTTAGGGACAGTTCAGGTTGCATTGCGTTCTCTATTCAATTGGCCGAAATAACTTTTTTTTCAAAATAATTTTCTCAACATTCCAAGTGTCGCCGAACGCCGTGCGTATTTTTATTTTTTTTTAACGTGTTTCATGCTTAGCACTAATCGACTATTTTTTTTTATAGTTTTAGATTAATCGAGTATTTTTGCTAACATTCGTTGTGCGTCTCCATTGCCTCCTGCGCCAACCCATCATGCTCGCCAAAAACACGTGCCAATCTATCCTAAAACCGACGACAATCTCTATCAAACGCCCTTACTTCGACTGTGTCATCCGCTCGTATGGGAGTTTCCGTAACCGTGCTTCATTTGACTCTATCACAAATTTCAACGATGGATTTCGTCTGTGCGAGACTGTTTTATATGGGCTGCAACAAACTATCAAACAATGATTCACCACTGTGGTTCTTCAATAGCCATCGTGTGACGAGCTCTCGCCAAGCAATCTAATTCACTAAACGTTATCAAGTCGTTCTGCGTCGATTCTGCTTATGGTTACTTTCCATTGGTGCTCTCCGTCGCTATCGATTCCATGCGTCGACAGTTCTTTCCAACCGGCCAACACTGCGGCATTTTTGCTTGCACAATCATATGACATGATGTTAGTTGTGCGCATTATCTCGGCGGTGAATCTTTGGATATTAATGGTGGCTGCACCATGCTGGTGATCTTCGATGCCCTTATTTCTCACACCCCGTAAGGGAATATTGTGCTTTCTGGGCCCTTTTCCGCTGCAATACGGTTGGTCGCTGTTGACGGAACGGACTATTTATATTGTCACATCGCGATGGTGGCCGCATTGCGTCTACGTTTCGTATTGTAACGAATTATCTCTTGCTCTCATCGTTCCTTACCCGCTCCCTGTGTGCCCGCCCCCTTTTTTCTTTCTGTGCTACCGCCATACCTCGTTCTGACTGAACCGTTGCTGTTTTGTCTCATCATTGCAGTCAGTGCCATTCATGATGCCGAAGAAGCAAAAGGCCGTCGTCGGCGCGGCAGCCCCCGGAGAGGAGGCGTCCGCGGGCGGCGGACCAAGGGCGGGGGCGCACCGCGAGGGAGCAGCTGCCGCCGGTGCTGTCGGCATCAGCAGCAGCGGTAGCAGTGCCCTCGGGGGCGGTGGCGCCGCAGCCGGAGGCACCCCTGGCGGCTATGGAGGCCACCACGGTGCCTATCATCATCATCATCATCATCATCAAGCACACAGCAGCAACAGCACGGGGAACATCTATGAGGACTACGAAGGATACATCATGGACCTGCTGAAGATCTTGGCCGAGCAACTCGGCTTCCACTACGACCTCTATTTAGTGCCTGATAACAAGTTCGGGGTCATGAACACCAGCACACAAGAGTGGAACGGCATGGTCAGAGAGATCATAGAAAAGGTTAGTGCAATCTGTGTCTGTGCATTTATGTATGAGCCCATACCGTGTTGAGTAGCTAGTCAGCGCTGCTCAACGGCAGTCTATTGGTAGCGTCTGAAATGCATTATAAGTTAAGCCATGATGAGCATCATGAATGGTGTGCTCTGAGACTGTATGAAGCCGTATAATAATGAATAATAGGAAACGCCAGCGGTTCATTTCGATACATTCGTAATGAATCCACATAGCATGTTCTATTTCAATTCAATCATAGCTAAAGCTGAGAACCGTAGCACTACAACTAGGTAGCCAACTAGTACTTAATTTATACTGGAATTGTATTTGAAAATAGCGTATGTGCGCCGGAAATTGTACCTGTTAAAATAGACCTTGTAATGTAGGTTAAGAATTGGAAGCATATATATTTACAGTAGGCACACGATACTGACATGTGAAGTACTATATGATGACCATTTGGATAAATACGCACTTGATCAATAAAACGTATACACTACTACTGAGAAAGATGGAATAGCGATCACGCCAGCCTTGCAGCGCAGGTAACGAATCCGGTTTGAGCTAATAGGGCATATGTTAAACATAATCATATGTGTAGATGTAGCAATGATTGTGGGTTTTATTACCAATTTTATTATTATGACATGGCTTTCGAGGTAAAATGTACTTACTCACTGAAACACCGTTTATTCAATTTTGCTTATCTGCCTATCTCTTTACAACTTCCTGAATTCAGGACACGAGTATTCTCCTTTCAGGATCGTTATACTGCGTTCACACATCCTTCCAAATCTTTCTTAAATGCTTAACATAACATAATACTAATCCACTCAAACATCTAGGCTTCTGCGTTGGGTCAACAAAAATTACCTGTCAACGCTTGTTCAATGAAGGTGTCTAGGTGTACTGTTTTACAGAGTAACGTCAAGTGCTTCTCCCCATATCTGGCAACTGGATGTAGCTTGACTCATTAATCTGCTTTAGCATGCATATATATAAGCGCGTGTATAAACCTGTATAAGTGTGTGAATATATAGAATCATGTTTCTAGCTCCTATCGACTGCTGAGCCGAGCGGCATGGTAGACAAAAATGATAGAAGGTGGCTGAAAAGAAGGAGAAAACGCAGAAGTACTTGCTAAGATTATCTCATCTGGATGCGTTATCGACGTCGTAGTAACATGGTCCCTTAAAATGATTATACGAACACAGGCAAATTATGCTGTCTATATATCCACATATATGGATACAGGGGGCTCCTCGTCGGCATAAACTTGTAGGCGCCGCGTAAAAAAAGAATTACACTGAAGAGCTGCCGCGCTAACGGACGCACAACGGAAGGGATTTTGGCATGGCAAATATACAGAGGTAGTGATGGCGATCGTGGTGCGTAAAAAAAGAAAGGACTATTGTCTTTTCGACTGGTTTTACTGGTCCGTTAAAGCCGACTTGGAACTAGGACAGCTGAGCACCAAATGCTGCGACCAGCTAGTTAGCGCGTGGCAACTGACCTTCCACTGTATGTACTTATGGGTGATAGTGAGAAAAGAGAGTCATTCCCTTAATTTCTCAATTTCCGAAAGCGAAAAGGAAGGGCAAAAGAAACTAGACAAAACGAGGATAGAAAAAGAGGACCTGGCGTGGAACCGTGCCTACTCCGTAGATCATCCTAGAGATACGTAACGCTTCTACCCAATCTCAAGCCCAAACATATAATACTTCACAGCATGGCGCCATAAAAGTGGACTCCGTTTAACCCATCATATTGCAGCCATTCTTCAGGCCAGTTTATGCTCTAGGTTTCAGTTGCTTTTCCAATTGGATGAGTCCTTCTCGTAGGCTCTCACTTCGCTCACCATCTGCCTCCCCTTTCCCAATTGTGGTGAAGGGGTGGTGGAAAACAGTGGGAAAAGATGAGATCTCCGGTAACGGTGGCTCTGGTAGAAATTATGGAAGGAAACGAAACGTTGGACGGCGATGTGCTGACGCCTATGAGCGCTAAATTTGCACTAAGAAAAAGATCACCTCATACAAACTCCCAACAGCCTTTACTTACCCCTCTTACTAAACAGGTGCCGGTTAGGTGCAGAAGTGACGTGGATCAGTTTTTTCTAAAGTAAATTAATTCATTGAACCTGTGTTTGTTTCTACGCTCCCAGGTTGGCTATTCTATACAGTACTGAACAGTATAAACATAATAGCTAAATATTGACGCCTGACGCAAACTGTGTTTAAATAGATTTATAAGTTACTTTAACAATAGCTTACCTTTTCTATCACGATAATGTAACACGGAGTGAATCAATAAAGCCACGGCAAAGATATCGCTGTAAATTTCTTTGAAATCATGAAAAACTTTAAAGTATTTTCACTGTTTACTTTTATAACAGCTTAGCACTCACGAGTGCAGACTTTCTAGGCATTGGTAAGAACCGATTGTCGTATGCAAAACGTGATAAAGGTTCCCAATATATTCTATAGGTGTTATTTGTCGGCGGATGTACCTGGTCACGCACGCTACGATTAAAACATCTAATCAAAGGAAGATCCTTTCAAAACGTGTAACTCAGTCACCAAGGAACCTCAGTCTATAAAAAATGTTTTTCTATTTACCAAGCCGTACTGTAATTTTCTTTTGCGAGAAGCCTAATCAACAGCAGGTGAATCAAAAGAAAAGGTCGCGTAATGATTTTCTAGATAAAATAAACCCTGAATGATTTACCTTAACGTTGCTTTAGTTTGTAGGATAAGTATCAGTTTGGCATACGGCAGTGTGCCTTGCTATTTATTGTAGACATCATCGAAAAGCTGGGCGTGCATAAGACAGAAGCCAAGGCAGAGCTTGCAGTAACAGCAACTGGGGCGTCGACCATGAAGTTACGATAGGTCAATGTAGGTTGTAATAGTCGCTATTCTTGACAACAAGTCAGCCATAGGTTGACCCGTTACCAAGATTCTATCACGCTAGAAGTAGTTGTGGATGTCACAAATCTCCTACATAATTTTTGCTTACATTAAATCGCTAGACTGCAAAGGATGAATCATAGGTTACTATAGGGTCGTTTGGAGAAACGTGTGGGCCTGTTTCTATCCCAGTATAGATTCAGAGCAATCACGAATACAGAGTTATTGTTGAAATAAGTAAAAGTTATTTTTCATTATATAGACAGACGAAGACGCTCTACGGTTTGGGCGTACTTTCTAACTTTACGTTCCAGTTCATTTCTGCTTATTTATTAAGATATTAATCGTAGAATATACATAAGAAAATGAGAAAACTCATTCAGTACGTCCAATTTTGCTAGACATGGCGTGGACGAAGTATCAGTACCAATCATTTCTGCTATTGCTCATATAGTATATGCTCACATAAAAAACGTGCACGGCCAACGTACGTATTGGATTATTGATTGGCTTCAAAGGATTCAGAAGAGGCCTTCTGCTATTATAGGTTTCGCAGGCAGGCAGGCAGGCCAACTACGACGATTAACACAACGGCGACAGCAGCAGCGGGTGCCTGTTTCATTGGGATTTACAATCAGGAGGATCCTAACAAAATCGAAGAATGTAGGTGCTGATTTGGGAGCTGTTGTTCCGCAAGCCAGGAACCTCGATTTCTGTCAGCTTATTCTGAGGGTATGCTTTGAGGATGACAGAGAGAGGGCTTTAAAAATTGGCCTAGTGAAATTAGGGAGTTAAGTGTAGATTACGCGTTGCGTAAAGAGAGATTGGACTTTAGCGCAGTAACAGTACAATGGGTCCAGTGACACGGAATTAATGAATTGTGTGAAGACCGGAACGACGACACTGACTACTACTATTACCACTACTACAATATTGAAGATCCATCATATAGGATCGCGCGTCCTTGCCCCTTTTTTATCCCACTTTCTCCGACCTAGCTCGGCCCGCCAGGCCCTCGACGGAACCGTTTGGCCCCCTAAATAAGTAAGTTTTAGGTTGGGCTTTAAGTTGAACCCGAAGCTGCGGCGCTGTTCGGGGCCACCATGATAAAAGCACCTGAGCTCGTAGCCTGTTTCTTTAACTTGTTTCTATTTCATTGGGTCTTCTCACTCAACGATGGGTATATGCTTAGGAGTCCATTGAGGCAAGAACCAGTCAAAGAGTCTTTCGACCAGATTTGGTGTTTGAATGCTCTTACCCTTTGTATCCAGTCTTCTGTAGTCAGCCAGTGAAGGCACTACGGTTTCACTGCACATAGCGATAGGTGCGGACTTACTGGCCGCTATTGCTACAACTTGTCTGTCGCTGGTATTAGTGCCCGCCAACCCGGAAAACCTCAACGAACGAAGCGAAAACATCAAGCCAAACGAGCGCGACCGACCGCTCAAGACAGATAGACATAGAAACATAAAAGCGGAAGGATTTGCGGAGGACCGAGAGGTCATATTCGCTAACGTTGTGCCTGTGTTTTTCGTAGTCGTATAACAGAATACTAGGACACTAGTTCACTGGTATGTTTACTGCTGCTAATGTTGTCACGGCTACATCTGCACACGTTACAATGTCTAGCTCCTCGAAGTGAACGACCAGCAACAAGCGACGTCATTACACGATAGCACGATTTGAAAACGAGGCGCTATCTGTTAGTTCGCTGTATTTGATGGCTCATAATTACAGCGTTATTGTAATGAAGGAGCTCCAAACGAAGAGAACCATAATACTGCAACAAGGCTGACGACAGGCACGTTTTGTAGGTGAACCTACGCACACAGATATCTTTTTTTATCATAAACTGAAGACAGTGAAACCAGTTAGTCACTATTGAGCGTAGGAAAATACACCTATTAACGAACTAGATTTAATTATCAACTAGACGGATAACCTATTAGTCCAATATGGCGTGCCGAGCCGCGTGTTGCAGTTGATGAGTCCTGCAGTTGTCAGTGTACAAGTCAGGATCCCTGCAGTGATCAGAAGTGAAGACAATCTTTCTACAAAACTATGCTACTGCATACGCAATCATCTTATAGTTCTGACGTC